CCCGCCTGTACCTCCCCCCATCCGTTTCTCAGCAGATTGGGCTGTACTCAGCAAGCGCAGTCCCGTGGATGGCTGTTTACTGACTGGTTGGCAGACGGCCTACCAGTCGACCCTACCGCATTATAACCCTGGCTAGCAGCAGAGTAGTCATGCAGACGGTTGGCGCCCCTGGATTGGTCGGGGGCCGACCGTCGGACTGGTCGGCACCTACCAGTTGGGGGTCGGTCGGCACCCCGCAAAAGAAAAAAAAGGGGTTAGAACCCCAAATAACCCCATCAACACCCCCATAGCCCCCCCCCGACATCCCCATACATCCCCCCAACACCCCCATACCGCCCCTAACACCCTCATACCCCCGCCCTTTAACCCCCTACAACCCCCGTATAACCGCCCTATACCTCACCGTATAACCTCCACCACCCCCTTAAAAAGTTACTGCGGAATTGGGCTGCTCTCCTCAAGCTGCGCATGGCCATGTAATCAAGAAAAGGAAAAACAAATTGCAAGGCAGTCTGCCGACCGCCTACGGGTCCCCGCCCGCCTACAGGTCGGCCCGACTGGTTGGCGCGCCTACCGGCTACGGTGGGCATCGGTGGTAGGCGCCAAAACTACCCTGGGTAGCAGTGAAAAAAACACCTATCTTTGTCTTTTTCACTTCGGCCGACCAGTTCTTTAGACAACTGGTGTGAGTACTGGAAGAAGGCCCGGCACGTTTGTAGGACCAGCAGGCCAGTACGAAATTTTCCGCGGCTGGCACCAAGCAATTTCCACACCTGGTGCTATATGGATTTCCAATGCAGAGGCCATGCAAGTTCCGCAGCAGGTGCAATGCGATCTCTTTTTTTTTTTTTTTTTTTTTTTTTCAAGGATTATTTGTTCCAATCTTCTTCCTTTTTTTATTTGCAGACCCACAGGCACACTCTGAATGGCTTCCAAGGCAAGTGTCCTCTTGACTCTGTGTTGAGCACATTTACTAAATTCTGATGAACATTTCTGAAATTGCGTCTTTCTTACTCTTTTTTCAGTTTGTGTGTTTTTCAGAAGTCGTTTCGTGCTGTTGAATTGTTTGAAATTCGAATTTGATTCAAATTGCAATGTGATGGAATAAACACTGCAAAATGTGTGTTGAATGGACATGCTGCCGTTGCTATTGCATGCTCAATAGGACCAACAGGTGAGTTCTGCATGCTGCCACCAAGCCTGATTTCCGCATGACAAACCTTCGTCATTGAGCTTCCAGACTGATATGGGATATTATGGAGTATATGGAAAGTTTTTTGCAGTACTGCTGTAACACAGCTAGAGAGAAGTTAAAAAAAGAGAAGYCCCCCCACCGCCGCAAAGAATAAAGAATAGTTGCGCGCACCATTTGCGCAAATGCGTGCGCCCCGCGCACCCCCCAGCGCACTGGTGCACTGCGCATCGAAGCACAATTGTCCAAACATCGTTTGCCGAAAAGAGAAAAAGGAAGGACAAATGAATAAATGTAAAAAAAGCAAGGGCAAAATGGAAATGCGACAAAACCACACAAGGAAATACAAAATCATTTCGAAATTTAGAAGTCCATTTGAGAACTACTGACACGTAAAATAGTCACAAATATGGCACACTCGCTGGTGCTGTAAAACCATGGGTTCTTGCGTAAAATAGTCACAAATATGGCACACTCGCTGGTGCTGTAAAACAGTGGGTTCTTGCACTCAGCACGCGGTCCTCTCACAATAGTAAATAAAATTCCGAAATAAAAATAAAAATAGTGCAAGCAGTCTTTGGCTGGGATGGGGTCTGGGGCTAGGTCCCACCAGCCAAGTTTTACTACTTGCGTGACGCCTACCATGGGCAGCTCTGACAACGTAGGGTGGATGTAACGGACTCGCATCCGGTTTGTACGGAACGGTACGCCCCTCTTGTTGTGTGTGGTACTTTCGTGAACACATTCAAGAAAACGACCACGTGCAGGGGAACGACTGTGCACTGTGTGCGAGAACAAGGATTCATTCCATACTTGCGGCACATCTATGTGCTGCGTGATGCAGTGCGGTGCATGATGCGCCGCGCGCCGCCCGACGCGACGTTCTTTATTCCAATCGAAATACAGAGATTGGAGATCAGCACGTTGAACGTTGGTCACAAGAAATGGTCCCTGAGGTTGGTGGCAGAACCAATGAACGGGGTCTCGCAATAGTTACGGACCCAGTGCCTATGCCCCTTGTTCTTGTGCTTCCCGGCCGGACCATTGTCCGTGAAGTACCTCTTGAGCTGTGCAATTAATACCTTCGCGAGAGCCATTTTCCCCTGTGCACATACAGTCCATCAATAGCCCTGGAGTCGGCCCATTCTGTCGCTCTTGGAGAAACCCCCAATGCACCCTCTCTTAGCCCCCCCCAACCTCCCCCCCTTCCGCAAAAGCGAGCCCGTGAGATAAGGGGGTAGGGGGGGGCAGGAACCACCCGCGTTCAACAGCCTAACTCTCCAAATTTCAGCCTTCAACATCACCCAACCCCTATTTTTGGGGTGCGCCCCAACTGCCTTCAACACTGCCCAACCCCCAAGCGTCCCCCCATAATACCCACCTCACCCTCCAAAAGAAAGCCCACGACTTAATTGAACAAAACCAAAAACAAAAACAAAAATGACTTTCGAGTTTCAACAGCGCCTAACCCCCCGAACCCCACCTTCAACCTGCGACCTTTTCTTTCTCCCAGGACCCCCACCTCACCCTCCGAAAGAAAGCCCATGACTTAAGTGAACAAAACCGAAACCAAAAACAAAAACGGCTTTCGAGTTTCAACAGCGTCCAACCCCCCGAACCCCACCTTCCACCTGCGACCTTTTCTTTTTCCCAGGACCCCTTTTTCTCAGGGTGCGCCCCAACCGGCTCAAGGCTCCCCAACCCCTTCCCCCTCCCCCACCCCTCACCCCAACCCCTATTCCGCCCTGAAATTTCTGCAGCGACCACCTCAGCAAGGCACCTCAATCTAACAGAAAGCTTTCAAGAAAAAATAGTATTAATGGAAAAAAAAGGGAGGACGACACCGATGATGGAGGAGCGAGGGGGAGGACGGAGGGAGGAGGAAATCGNAAAAAAAAGGGAGGACGACACCGATGATGGAGGAGCGAGGGGGAGGACGGAGGGAGGAGGAAATCGATGACGAGGGAGGATTGAGGAGGAGGAGAACGACGGGGAGTTTTTTTTGCTAATTGGACTTCAAGAAAGAAAATGCGGAAAGACGATGGAGGAGGGACGAGAGGTGGGGGTCTAGGTGGAGGAGTGCTCTGATAAACGAGGGAGGAAGAGAAGTATGGCGAAGGAGGGAGGAAGAAATCGATGACGAGGGAGGATTGAGGAGGAGGAGAACGACGGGGAGGTTTTTTTGCTAATTGGACTTCAAGAAAGAAAATGCAGAAAGACGATGGAGGAGGGACGAGAGGTGGGGGTCTAGGTGGAGGAGTGCTCTGATAAACGAGGGAGGAAGAGAAGTATGGCGAAGGAGGGAGGAAGAGAAGGATAATGATGATGAGGGAGGGAATGGAGGAGGGAGGAGCACACCGATAATGAGGGAGGAGGGGAAGGGAGAAGGGTGGAGGGAGGATGGAGGAGGGAGGACAACAACGATGATTGAGGGAGGGGGAGGACAACAACAGAGGGAGGAGGAGATCGATGACGAGGGAGGATTGAGGAGGAGGAGAACGATGGGAAGGGTATTTAATGCTATTCGGACTTCGGAAAAAAAAATGCGAAAAGACGATGAAGGAGGGATGGAGTAGGAGGGACGAAGGGAAGGGGTGGAGGAGTGCTCTGATAAACGAGGGAGGAAGAGAAGTATGGCGAAGGAGGGAGGAAGAGAAGGATAATGATGATGAGGGAGGGAATGGAGGAGGGAGGAGCACACCGATAATGAGGGAGGAGGGGAAGGGAGAAGGGTGGAGGGAGGATGGAGGAGGGAGGACAACAACGATGATTGAGGGAGGGGGAGGACAACAACAGAGGGAGGAGGAGATCGATGACGAGGGAGGATTGAGGAGGAGGAGAACGATGGGAAGGGTATTTAATGCTATTCGGACTTCGGAAAAAAAAATGCGAAAAGACGATGAAGGAGGGATGGAGTAGGAGGGACGAAGGGAAGGGTTGAAGGAGCACTATGATAAGCGAGGGAGGAAGATAACTATGGCGAAGGGGGGAGGACGAGAAGGATAATGATGACGTGGGAGGGAATGGAGGAGGGAGGAGCACACCGATAACGAGGGAGGGGGAAGGGAGAAGGGCGGAGGTAGGATGACACCGATGATGGAGGGAGGGGGAGGACAACGACAGAGGGAGGGGGAGATCAATGACGAGGGAGGATTGAGGAGGGGAACGATGGGGAGGGTTTTTTCTGCTCATCGGACTTGGAAAGGAAAAAAATTGTGGAAAGACGATGGAGGAGGGATGGAGTAGGAGAGACGAGGGAGGAGGGACGAGGGGCGAGGGTGGAGGAGCACTATGATAAGCGAGGGAGGAAGAGAACTATGGCGAAGGAGGGAGGAAGGGGGAGGTGGAGAAGAACAATGACAAGGGAGAAACGGGGAGGAGGAGGAGATGTACAATTTCCACAGAGAGAGAGAGAGAGAGAGAGAGAGAGAGAGAGAGAGAGAGAGAGAGAGAGAGAGAGAGAGGGCGCGGCTGGTGGTAACCCACCTGGATATGGCCGCTGTTTCCTTTGCCTCCTCCCGCTGCTGCGACCGTCGGCTCCTTCGTGCTGCTATGGCTCAACGAGAAAATGGGGGGCTGCTTCCTGCGGTAATGCACAGGAGAAAATGACGAGTAAGGCAACACACGGCGGCCGTGAAGGAGTACGTGCCGCTGGGGCACCGAGGTCGACTGCCGGGCTGGGGGCCAACGTGGGGAAGGTCCAAGTAGTTCAAAAACGAACTACTCGGATC